TCTGCTAAGGAAGACACATCTCTATCTATGTCAGATAATAGGATAAGGAATAGGATGGGAGCAAGTACTGTGCCTCGTGGAACAGAGCTTTTCACAGTAGCTGTCCCGGACTTTACTCTGTTTACTATTACTCTTGGTGTTCTATTTGTCAAGAAGTTATAGATTCATCTGCCAACTTTCTCCTTCGTCTGTATAGCGAGTATCTCTCTCTTTCTAGTTTTCATGTTCTCTTTCTTTTTTTTTAATTGAATGTGCCTTGAGTAGATCTCAAGAACCATAGAGTGTATGTTTTCTAGGCAAAGGTTCGGATCCCTTTTGTTTAGGATATCTTTCCAGGTTGTTCCATCAAGGACATGGATGAATAGTTCGTGTGTGTGTGAATTTTTATCTGAGCTGCCTCCTGGGGTGATCTCTGCTAAAATATTGTTTGCTACACTCCTCCATTTTAGGTGCTTCAAGCTGAAATATCCCAGTAGGAAGATGTTCAGGGCAGGAGTTGGGAAATTTTCCAGACAGTGGACAATTTTCAAAAGCTGCTCCTGGAATTGCTGGGAAGTTGCATCCGGAGGTTTGTATACTACCACAATGACAAGGTTTTGGTTTTCAATCTTTACCGCCAAAACTTCAACTATATAATTTGAGGTGTTTAGTAGATCAGAACAAATAAGCGACTCTGAGACTTACAGACAAACCTCCCCTCGCTGCCTATTTAGCCTGTTGCATCTGAATAGGATGTAACCTGGGATCCATATTTCACTGTCAAAATGACCCTTTATGTGGGTCTCTGTGAATGCTGCAAACATTGCATTTGACTCCCTGAGCAGTCCCTTGACGTAAGGAATTTTGTTGTTTGTTGACGGCTTCAGACCCTGTATGTTTGCAAAGACAAATGTTGTTATATTGATGGAATTTAGGGGGGGGGAGTTATTTTCTGGCTCTAATATTTGTTGTTCTGGATGGAACATATAGCCGCAGAGTGCAGAGAGGCAGAGAAGAAATTTGTATCCAGGGGCAACAGAAACAACAGGAAGACCAAAGTGAACCTAAGGTTTATCCTGAGGTGCAGAGACGCCAAAACCAAGTGTGCTAAAGCATGCAAAAAATATAGTAGGCAAAGAATACGAGAAAGCAAGGAACAGAGCCGATGATCCAGAAACAAACATGAATAGAAAGGAAGGGAGGTTCAGCGGCAATTTGATAATGAAGAACAGTCAGCACTAGGAAGGAAGATAAGAAGATCACAACAAATGACCAGGAAATATGTGAAAAGCTTAGCACGAAAATTGGGAACTTATTCTCAGAGAACTCAAGAAATCGTAATGACACGATTGCAAACAAACCATACCCCCGGCCGGGATTGAACCCGCGGTCATAGAGTCTCAAAACTCCAGCCCGTCGCGTTAGCCACTAGACCAGCTAGCCACAATAAGATTCATCCAACTAGGTATATTTCTACACGGCAGTGAAGGGACTTGAGCTAGAGTTCGTCACGGCCACGCTAGCTGGAAATTCGTCTGTAAAAACTTGCATTTGTGGTCACAGTGGTGCCTGTGCTAACTTTCCTATGGTGTAGAAATATACCTAGTTGGATGAATCTTATTGTGGCTAGCTGGTCTAGTGGCTAACGCGACGGGCTGGAGTTTTGAGACTCTCTGACCGCGGGTTCAATCCCGGCCGGGGGTATGGTTAGGTTTCTCAGAGAAGACCGAAAGGCTTCTGGTAGAAGATGAACAAAATACACATAGTCAAGGAGGGTTTGAAGAAACTTCTACGTGAAATAGATATTTGGAAGGCGGTGGGCCCAGATAATATCTCTACATGGGTCCTGATAGTATGTGTTGCTTGTAAAAATATTCAACAAATCTATCGAAACTGGACAACTACCAGAGGTATGAACGCCAGTAACAGTTGTCTCAACTTTTAAGAAAGGAAGACAGACAGGCAGCATTAACTAGTGACTGAGAGTAAGACACATGTGCAACATCTGGGTATCTTTATTGTAGACGTTTCGCCATCCAGTGGCTTTATCAATACAAATTCTAGGACATAACTTGAAGACAGTAGAACTATGTACAGAAGATGAGGTAATCAGTCCCTCAACCTAGGAGTAGGTGCGAACAGCACCTACGACTATGGTGCTGTTCGCACCTACTCCTAGGTTGAGGGACTGATTACCTCATCTTCTGTACATAGTTCTACTGTCTTCAAGTTATGTCCTAGAATTTGTATTGATAAAGCCACTGGATGGCGAAACGTCTACAATAAAGATACCCAGATGTTGCACATGTGTCTTACTCTCATCTTGTCGGTATTATATACCTTTCGTACACAACTAGTGACTGGTAACACTGACTTGTATAGTATGTGCAGTTAGGGAGAAGACTGTCAGTAGGAGAGCAGAGGAAAACCTAGAAAGGAACGGGCTTATACATGAGAACCAGCACGGCTTCAGGGATAAAAAATCCTTTGTCAAAAAAACCTACTGGAGTTATATAACACGTTTCCCTCGCGGGAGGTTCATTCACGCTGGAGAGAGGCTCTTGATCTAGGGAATTTGATCTGTGCTCCAGTTCCCTGAATTGAGCCTGAATACCTTCCATCCGCTAAACCCCACTGGTTTAGCGCTCCCCAAATATAATAATAATAATAATAATAATAATAATAGTAATAATAATAGTAATAATACCTTGTACATGTACATGTACAAAGTATACAGACCATAGCTGACATCAATGACATACTACTATATAGAAAGCCGCTTGTTATACAGACCATTTCGGGCAAATTAGGTTAGTTTTGTCCCAGGATGCGACCCACACCAGTCCACTAACACCCAGGTACCCATTTTACTGATGGGGACCATAGACAACCGGTGTAAAGAAAAACGCCCAATGCTTCTACCGTCGCTGGGAATCGAACCCAGACACTCGCCGTGGGAAGTGAGAGCTTTAGCCACCAGGCCACGGTTAACAGAAGTATGACAGGAGAGTGTAAGAAGGGTTTTGACATAGTACCTCACAAGAAATTGATACAAAAACTTGAGGAGCAGGCAGAAATAATATGAAAAAACACTCCAGTGGATCAGGAAATACCTGACAGGAAGAAAATAACGAGTGATGGTACTTGATGATGTGTCGGAATGGGCGCAGATGTTGAGTGGGTTTCCACAACGGCCGGTACTAACGAAACTAATGAGGGAAATACATGCTGGCGAGAATCAGAAAATCTGCAAAAGGATGTGGACAGGCTGCTAGGCTGGTCCGACAAATGTTTCCTCTAGTTAAACTCTACCAAGTGCAAAGTTATGAAGCATAGAGAAGGACAAAGAAGACCGCAGATAGAGTACAGGCTGGGGGATAGTCAAAAGCTTTAAAACTCACTCAGAGAAAAGGGTCTTGGGGTGAGTATCATAACGAGCACATCCCTGAAGGTGTATATCAAACAAATAACATCTGCAACATACGGAAATATAAACACATATGCAGTATAATGTGATCCTTTATTGACAACGTTTCGCCCACACAGTGGGCTTTATCAAATCACAACAGAGCTACCTGGGTGAAACATGCGTGAGTATTTATAGGATGAGAATTCTTACCTGGAGTTTACCTGGAGAGAGTTTCGGGGGTCAACGCCCCCGCGGCCCGGTCTGTGACCAGGCCTCCTGGTGGATCAGCGCCTGATCAACCAGGCTGTTGCTGCTGGCTGCACGCAAACCAACGTACGAGCCACAGCCCGGCTGATCAGGAACTGACTTTAGGTGCTTGTCCAGTGCCTGCTTGAAGACTGCCAGGGGTCTGTTGGTAATCCCCCTTATGTGTGCTGGGAGGCAGTTGAACAGTCTCGGGCCCCTGACACTTATTGTATGGTCTCTTAACGTGCTAGTGACACCCCTGCTTTTCATTGGGGGGATGGTGCATCGTCTGCCAAGTCTTTTGCTTTCGTAGTGAGTGATTTTCGTGTGCAAGTTCGGTACTAGTCCCTCTAGGATTTTCCAGGTGTATATAATCATGTATCTCTCCCTCCTGCGTTCCAGGGAATACAGGTTTAGAAACCTCAAGCGCTCCCAGTAATTGAGGTGTTTTATCTCCGTTATGCGTGCCGTGAAAGTTCTCTGTACATTTTCTAGGTCGGCAATTTCACCTGCCTTGAAAGGTGCTGTTAGTGTGCAGCAATATTCCAACCTAGATAGAACAAGTGACCTGGGTCAGGTGGAGAAAGCTGCACGTGACAATCTTCCGAGGAGAGTTATAGAGTCTAAAAACTTGGGTAGTTTTTAAAAGAGAATTGATAAGCATGTGAGTAGACCTTCTGCAGTGTACCTCGATTCTTATGTTCTTATGTGTGATAGCGATGAAGAAGTTCCTTGGTAGCAGGTTCATCTATGTTATAGAAACCGTTGTTCTGGTTGAAGTTGTTGGATATACAGATAAGTGATGATTCCTGGAGCTAAGGGGTATGTCCTACAAGGATAGGTTAAAGGAAACCCACCCGACGACACTGGAGGACAGGAGAGATAGGGGGAATATGATAACGACATATAAAATACTGAGAGGAATTGACAAGGTGGACAGACAGGATGCTCCAGAGATGGGACACAGCAACAAGGGGTCACAATTGGAAGTTGAAGACTCATATGAATCACAGGAATGTTAGGAAGTATTTCTTCGGTCACTGAGTGGTCAGGAAGTAGAATAGTTTGGGAAGTGATGTAGTGGAGGCAGTATCCATACATAGCTTTAAGAAGAGGTATGATAAAGCTTATGGAGGAGGAAGAGTGACCTACTAGTGACCAGTGGAGAGGCGGGGCCAAGAGCTGTGTTCGACCTCTACAACCACAATTAGGTGAGTACAGCTAACTGAACACACACACACACACACACTGAGCACACGCCTTAATCCTATCAACCACGTGTAGTTGTCCTAATTACAATTTACTTCTGTACTTCATAGAATAATTTACAATATATTTTTTCCGTGGGAACTCTGTGCGCCATCAGATGTGGTTGACTACAAGAGCCTTCCAAGGTTGGTTGAGGAAGTGCAAGGTCTTCTTGGCGCCTCAGGTCTAAATTTGCTCATCAACAACGCTGCTATAATGGACACATGTCCTACACAGATGTTTGGGGTTCCCCTGGAGCAGCTGGAGCAGCAGTTGTTTAGCAGAGTGATGGAGACCAACACGACAGCACCTCTTATGTTGACCAAGGTGAGGGAGATGGCTACAACATTGTATTCTTTTCTCTCCTCTTAGCATCAACTTTGTATTTTTTTGCTTTGTATAGTTATACATTTCCAGGAATATATCAACTGTATTTATAAATTAAAACCAAGGTTAGTTTCTTTATAGTAAATTACAGTATATTAGACATAAATTCAGAAGAATAAGTTCGTAACACTCGCGTCCCATTGTAAGTACACGAACTGTTTATCCTGGAAAAATTGCTTTTCCTGTTTTAGAAACTTCAGTCCACTGAAAGTACTGAAGAGTTATGAAGAGGCATCTTCATTGTGGCGCACATTGTTATATGATGTTAACAGTATCAAAGGATTTACATTATTATGGCTATAAAACATTCAAAAATTCAAGTCGAAATTGTTCTCATAGACCAACCGGACTGTGGGAAGTTGTGACGTGATATATCAGACCATTAAATTAGCTATACTACTTACAAGTTAACACAGAGTGAGTCTTTTTATTACCATTTTTCTACTCTTCTTCTAGCCTTCACAGACGCCATCTTGTTGAAGAATCATTTATACACAACTTTCCAATATGAATCATAGTCCTGGCTCTGGGTAGCTACATTCCTTTCTCATTACACTGTCAGTTGCTCCAAACTTCAGAACACTTGTGACTTGACCTAATCTTTGTCTCCTCCTTTCCTTTCCTATATTTTATTGGTCTTTCTTTTCTTCTGTGTAGGTGGGTTCTGGCCTCTGAGTTTCCCAACGGTTTTTGTCCTACCCTCGTAGACCATTAACTCTCCTGCAGTGTTTCGCTGCTATTTTACTCTTAGACTACTACTACTACTACTACTACTACTACTACTACTACTACTACTACTACTACTACGACTACTACTACTACTACTACTACTACTACTACTACTACTACTACTACTGCTGCTGCTGCTACTGCTGCTGCTGCTGTTGCTGCTGCTGCTCTGTTACTGCTACTACTACTGCTGCTTCCATTCCTTTGCTAACACTCCACTATCTCTGCCTCTGCTGCATTACTTATACTACTATTATTGCAACAATTATCTCTACCACTACTTTTATAATTATTTAAATACCTCCTCTCGTTGTATTACTCCTAGCCCCGCCCCCTCTCGTATTTATATTGGCTCCCTTCTCTTTTGCACTTATTTGGAGTGGATTCTACCTTTACGCTCGTACTGCGACCAGAGTGCCAGTAATGACTTAAATGGAGCAGAGTTTTTGAGAGAGGAGACCCTCATTCCAGCGAGAACATCGGCATTGAGATAGCAGACACTCCACCCATGCCAGCATCTCTGCTACTTACTACGAGCTGAGTGAGTGGGGATGGTACACACCAGACTACGAGCTGAGTGAGTGGGGATGGTACACACCAGACTACGAGCTGAGTGAGTGGGGATGGTACACACCAGACTACGAGCTGAGTGAGTGGGGATGGTACACACCAGACTACGAGCTGAGTGAGTGGGGATGGTACACACCAGACTACGAGCTGAGTGAGTGAGGATGGTACACACCAGACTACGAGCTGAGTGAGTGGGGATGGTACACACCAGACTACGAGCTGAGTGAGTGAGGATGGTACACACCAGACATAAGACACAACTTGAACCTAACACGTGCTATGCCATAGTTACAGATATAACACAGCTACAGTGCTTGTGGTGAAAGGGACTCACTGTGCCTTCGTCATAGGGTTGCACCTGCCTTAGAACTGTAAACAGTAGTCCACCAGACGTTTACTTCCTACATCTCCTTGGCGTTAAACTTAGTTAAATATAATAAGACACAAGGAATAATCAGTGATTTTATCCCAGTGTCGAAATGTAGCGTGATACTTATTGGTATGTGTACTCTTGGAAGCATAATTAATTAAATATTAGCAAGTTCCTATTGGTATTACTTAGCTGATAACAATTAATGTTCGTGAATGACGCTGTGACTGTGTCGAGGAAAATAATTTTTAAGAGTTATTTTTGGGGGTTTCTCTTTCGCAGTTGTTAAGTTCGACTTAACACGCCTGTCATCGTTCACGTCACTAACGTCACCGTGAGTTAAGTTAGGTAAGATTCGTCAGGAAACAGTAAGTGTTTCCTGACGTGACTTCTAGCCATATGAATATCCTCCCCTGGAGCTTTTGGTCAACTGACCGAGGCCTTCCACTGGCTTACCACTCCAGGTACACTTTAGGTGAGCATACCTGGAGTACACCTCTCCCAGTATACTCCTGGTATACTCACCATAAGTGTTTACCTGCCTCCCACAACTCTGCAGATAGTCGTAAAAAATAATTAAAGATCTTTTATAGAAATTATTGATTACTGTCAGACCTTAATTTTTTTCAAATTTTCAACATTACATTTATGGAGAATTATTTATTAAATATGACCTTGAAGTTACAAATAAACTCAAATAGAGTTGATCAAATTTTATTTACGTAGTGTAAGTTTTTGACCATGTTGATATTGCCAGTTAATAGGTTTCGAACTGGCGTCATGTTGTCAGGCAGGCTGGTGGGTATAATTTTTAATATCGGTATCAAGGTATCCTGCTTGATACCTGGAGTATACCTGGAGAGGGTTTCAGGGGTCAACGCCCCTGCGACCCGGTCTGTGACCAGGCCTTCTGGTGAAACCGACGTACAAACCACGGACTGGCTGGTCAGGTACAGATTTTAGGTGCCTGACCAGGGCCTTCTTCAAGACAACCAGGGGTCTATTGGTAATCACCATTATGTATGCTGGGAGGCAGTTGAACAGTCTTGGCCCCCAGACACTTATCGTGTTGTCTCTTATCATGCTAGTGGCTACAGTGCTTTTCATTGCTTTACCATCTGTACCAATACCCTGGCGCCCAGCTCACGCTAGACGTTTTGATCCAAGGCAGCCAGCTTTCAGCACTACGTACCTTGTTCCAAGGTTAATAGGTTCGAGTCTCCTTCGGCCAGAGATCAGTGTTTGTGAATATTTCGCCTGCTCTTGCGAATTCCTAGCATTGCAAAATTCTCTAGTTGGTCGATGTATGCAGGGGATGAGATGAAAAACTGTAAGCCTCCCGCCTGAAAGCTGTCTGCCTAGGATCAAAACGTCTAGCGTGAGCTGGGCACCAAGGTATTGGTCCAGTGTGGTACGGATGGTAAAGCACTGCATACCTTGTTCCAAGGTTCGTAGGTTCGAGTCTCCTTCGAATCTCTCCTCTCTCTCTCTCTCTCTCTCTCTCTCTCTCTCTCTCTCTCTCTCTCTCTCTCTCTCTCTCTCTCTCTCTATATATATATATATATATATATATATATATATATATATATCAATAATAACAATGCACTGGCCAAGGACTCGAACCCATGCTGCTTTGGCCTGCCTCATGGTGGGCGAGAACACATGACGCACTAATCCACTGGACCATATGATCCTTAAGATATTAGCCTAGAGTCATCCACACCATCGTGTGTCCTTGGGTAGCAAGTACAACATTCAGTTCCGCTGGATGCGCTACTCTTAAGGATCTTATGGTCCAGTGGATTAGGGCTTCAGGTGTTTCGCCCACCATGAGGCAGGCCAAAGCAGCATGAGTTCGAGTCCTTGGCTAGTTCAGTGATGTTATTGATCAATACCACTCGTTCGTGGTTACAATAATATATATATATATATTTCAACAAGTCGGCCGTCTCCCACCGAGGCAGGGTGACCCATAAAAGAAAGAAAATCCCCAAAAAGAAAATACTTTCATTATCATTCAACACTTTCACCTTACTCACACATAAACACTGTTTTTACAGAGGTGCTCAGAATACAACAGTTTAGAAGTATATACGTATAAAGATACACAACATATCCCTCCAAACTGCTAATATCCCGAACCACTCCTTTAAAGTGCTGGCATTGTACTTCCCATTTCCAGGACTCAAGTCCGGCTATATAAAAATAACCGGTTTCCCTGAATCCTTTCACTAAATATTACCCTGCTCACACTTCAACAGATCGTCAGGTCCCAAATACCATTCGTCTCTATTCACTCCTATCAAACACGCTCATGCACGCCTGCTGGAAGTCCAAGCCCCTCGCCCACAAAACCTCCCTTACCTCTTCCTTCCAACCTTCTCGAGGACGACCCCTACCACTCCTTCCTTCTCCTACAGATTTAAATGCTCTCCATGTCATTCTACTTTGATCCATTCTCTCTAAATGACCAAACCACCTCAACAACCCCTCTTCAGCCCTCTGACTAATACTTTTATTGACTCCACACCTTCTCCTAATTACCACACTCCGATTTTTCTGCATAATATTTACACCACACATTGCCCTTAGACAGGACATCTCCACTGCCTCCAACTACCTCCTCGCTGCTGCATTCATAGCCCAAGCTTCACACCCATATAAGAGTGTTGGTACTACTGTACATTCATACATTCCCTTCTTTGCCTCCATAGATAACGTTTTTTGACTCCACATATACCTCAACGCACCACTCACCTTTTTTCCCCTCATCAGTTCTATGATTAACCTCATCCTTCATAAATCCATCCGCCGACACGTCAACTCCCAAGTATCTGAAAACATTCACTTCTTCCATACCCCTCCTCCCCAATTTGATATCCATTTTTTCTTTATCTAAATCATTTAATACCCTCATCACCATACTCTTTTCTATGTTCACTTTCAACTTTCTACCTTTACACACACTCCCAAACTCATCCACTAACCTTTGCAATTTTTCTTTAGAATCTCCCATAAGCACAGTATCATCAGCATAAAGTAACTGTGTCAATTCCCATTTTGTATTTGATTTCCCCATAATTTAATCCCACTCCTCTCCCGAACACACTAGCATTTACTTCTTTTACAACCCCATCTATAAATATATTAAACAACCATGGTGACATTACACATCCCTGTCTAAGACCTACTTTTACCGGGAAGTAGTCTCCCTCTCTTCTACACACCCTAACCTGAGCCTCACTATCCTCATAAAAACTCTTTACAGCAT